GGTGTACTACCGATGCTCTACGGCCCGGTGGAGCTCACGACTGCAACCGTTGCGGACAAGCGTGTGCTGCTGTTTACGCAGATGTCGTCCAGTCGTACCGCACCAGGAGACAACGGCGGAAGAGGCACGTTCCGCAGAGTAATCCACCTGTGGCTCTCCGACGGTGCCCGGACCCACGACGTTGGGCCAATATCTGCGGATGATGCAGGCGAAGCCCTTTTTAGCTCGTTGCTGTACACAAACGATGAGTTGTTTGCCCTCTACGCGAAGGTGGGTGAGAGTGGAAGCTCTCAAAGTCTTGTTTTTGCGCGCCTCCCAGAGCAGCTGCAGCGGATCAAGTCCGTGCTGCAAACATGGAACGATGTGGACGGCAGAGTTGCAAAGCTTTGCAGCCCTACCGTCACTCCCGCTGCTGCCTGCGTCGGTACTATGCCAACGGACGGGCTGGTTGGGTTTTTGTCGAACGGTGGCAACAATACTCACTGGAATGACGAGTACCTTGGGATGAATGCCACGGTGTCCACGACGGCAACGCGGAAGGTCAGCGATGGCTTTGAGCTGGCAGGGGCGGGGGCGCGAATTGTGTGGCCGGTGGGCAGTAAAAGTGAGAATGACGGGTACCCGCTTGCATACGAGGAGCTCACACTTGTGGCGACGGTGACCATCAACGGCGCCACAACGAGTGTCACCCCACTGCTGGGCGTGAAGACAGTGGTCACCGGGAGATATCTGGGGCTGTGGTACGACCAGCACAAGCACTGGAGGACGAATTTCAGGGCAGGAGCAGGAGGAAATGACGCACACGCAATGGCGTGGGAGGTGGGGAAAACATACCGAGTGCTGCTCACGGTGCAGAACGGCAGCGGCTCGGCTTACGTCGATGGGCGGCTTGTGGGGAGTTTGGAGGAGAACCCACCAGCGACTGTGCCTGCCCGGCCTTCGCCTGCGGCTGGTCGCGAACTGCCTCCGCTGGAGGGACCGCCGGAGAGGGTCTCGCACGTCCTTGTTGGTGAATACAGGGACAGCAAAGGAACCGCAGAGAGCCGCGTGACGGTGACGAACGTCTTGCTGTACAACCGCCGCTTCAGTGCCAGTGAGGTTGCCGCAATGAAGAGGGCGCAAGAGCGCAAGTCGTCAGGGGCAGCCGGCACTCAGCACGCAAAGGCTAAAGCAAAGGACATTTCTGTGCATGGATGTGCTTCTGGGGCGCTCTCGCTGCTTCTATTTGCGCTGTGGGGCCTCTCCGCGCTGTGCTGAGCGGCGGTGGCGTCGCTGGGCAGCGGCACGCAGAGGGAACGCATGTGCGTCTCCCCCACTAAGTTAATTGTTGATCCGCTGCGGATCGTCTTTGCTTCCTGGTCATGTGCGAGTTCTCCCGTTGGGTTGAACGCCGGGAACAATTCTCTTCTTTTTTTCTTTTGCTAAATACTTTTTTTATTGCTTTGCTTTGCCCACTCTCCCCACGGAGGGGCGGGCGCCACTCGCGGCTGTCGGCTGCTCCCGCCCAGAGACGCACAGAGCGGACAGTTCTTCGTGCGCCGCGCAGAGGAAGCGGCGGGTGGGCGGGGCGACGGCACGCTGAGGTGCCGCCAATGAAAAGTGAGCGCTGCGTGGACATGAGGGGGACGTGTTGGGGTGGAGCAAACACATATCTTTTTTTGCTTTTCCTTTTTTTTGTTTTGTGGAGGCAAAAATAATTGCAGCGTGGTGTTGGCGGTGCGCGTGGCCAGCCGTATTTGTCTGCCTGCATCGTTTTCCGTTGTAATTGTTTTTGCTCTTCCGTAAGTCTTCTTTTTTGCTCACTTTGTTTCTGCACGGCGATCGTGCGACTCACCGCGGGCCCAACCGCGGCGCCGTGCCCGGTGTGGCTGCCGTGCTGCTTCCCTCCTGCCTCCTCCGCTGCATGCGGGCGTGGCTGGTGATGTGCCTCTCTCTCTTTCCTTTCCTTTTCTCTGTGTGTGCCTGTCTTTGGGTGCCGGCTGCCGCGGGCATGCCGTGCGCCCCGGCGTGCTCGCCTTCTTTTTGGCGACTGCAGCGGCGTGGTGTTGGGGGCGGGCGGGAGCCTCTTTTTTTCTGCGGCTGCGCTCGCCGTGGGGATGTGTTGCGTTGCCCCAGCCGCGCGGGGAGGGACTTGCCGATTCCCCCGCGTGTTTGTTTGGGTGCCTGCAGCGGCGCCGGGGGTAAAATGCGGAGCCCCAAACGCTGCTGCTCTGCCGCGCGTTGCCGCGGAGCGAACTCGTGCGGCTCGGCGCACTGGCGGGTTGACTGTTGGGCAGACTGCGGGGACTATGGCGGCTGGTCCCCTTCGTTGTGTTGATTTGCGGCGGCAGCATTCGTGTTTGAGCGAGCAACTTAACCGTTCTACAGCTGCCGGACGGAGTGGATGTGTTTGCGTCGCGGGAGCAGGGCAACTACGAGTACGCCGCTCCCTCGCTTGCAGAGGTCGACGGGGCTCTGGTTGCCGCAGCCCATGCCCGCTGCGGTGGCAGTGAGGGGGCGGCGGTGGCTGCGGGGAGTGAGTCACAGCCGGCACAACAACCGCCGTCGACAGTTGTGCTGATTAAAAAAAACAGAAGGCCAGCGGTCGAGTGAAGTTCCAACTTTGGCCGGTCTGACTGCTGCGAAAGAAATGTACGGATCCGCCGGCCACTCCCTTGTGCATGCGGGTGGAGTGACGGTGGCCCTCGCCAAGGCCCGCTACGGCCCCGGCCTCGTTTCCGACGTTGGGATTTGGCGACGTGCATCAGCTGCAGCAGCGGGAGTGGGGGGAGTAGCGGCTGCACTCCGTTGGCTGCTGCTGCTGCTGATGATGATGATGGCGGCGACTTGTGAAAAGAGGGGCGGCGTGACGGCTTTCAAACCAAAGAACGCAAACTCCAGAGATAACTGGACAAAACGAGGGAAAGACGCATTTACTTGTTATTATTATTGTCTTTGTTTTTCCCCCGTTATGCATGCAGGGGCTCGCTGTGGTGGGCGCCCGGTGGTGAGAGAAGCGCAGAGGGAGCTGCGCAGCCCGCGGCATGGCAGCGACACGCTAAGCGGGACAGGCGGGCGTGGGGCGAGGCAGAAGGCAGACGGCAATGCGTGAATGGCGTGCGGCCCGAAAATGGACGAAAAAAGAAGTTTGTG